AGTGAAGTTGTCAAAGACTTCATTTTGCTTAGATCCACCATCAACACTCATGGAAGCAGCAGTTAAGAAATCAAACAACATATTGCATTAGGCAAATCTGTCACACAAAAAACTCTTTAAAGTGTTCGAGAGCAAAGGTAATCAGTTTGAAGACTAAAGTGTGCCTGACCCAAGCCATGGTATTTCGTGGTATTTTCATGAATGTGAAAGTTGGACAATGAATAAAGAAAACTGTAGAAGAATTGATGCATTTGAGTTATGGTGTTGCAGAAAAATATTAAAAGTACCATGAACGGCCAGAAGAACAAACAAATCTATGTTTGAAGAAGCACAACCAGAATGCTCCTTAGAAACCATGATGAGCAGACTTTGTCGCTCATATTTTGTGCATTTTATCAGGAAGAACCAGTCCCTCAAGGATTTCATTCTTGGAACAGTGGAGGGTCCGTGAAAAGAGGGAAATCCCCAACAAAATGCTGCTGAACACAGTGGCAGCAGCAATGGGCTCAAGCAGAATGATTGTGAGTCTCCTGCAGGACCAATGTTTTGTTCTGTTGTACATAAGGTCACTTTGAGTTCAAACCGACTTGAGGGCACCTAACAACAATAACAATTTGTATCAAGAATAAAGGAAACAAACAAAAAGATCTCTAAATATATATTGAGTTACAGCTCCTATTGAAGAATGTAATAAACATACACATCAGTTTCCTGTATAATATTAATGACCTACAAGGGAAATTCAGAAAAGCATCCTAGTCAACTGAATGGTTTGGGTTTAATGGAAAAACAGATCCAGTGCAACTTCCTCATCTCTTAGATGAGGATACTGCGGTTCTGCAAAGTGAATAGAAGTCACATGCCCAGAAGGTGGCCCAGCCAAACCTGATTCTCCAGATTACCTGTGGCTCCCCAGCCGGGATGCACTTGAACTCCCTGGGAACAGGATGCCTCGAGCAGTGTCACAGGCAGGTTCTCCAACACGCCGCCAGGGGGCAACAGCATGCTACGGAAACAGGATTGCTAGCCGAGAACAGGCACCCTGACGTGAGGTCACCAAGAAATCGAGCTGTAAGTGGCAAAGGCAGAAATGATAGAAAAAGATACGGGAAGAGAAAAGGCACTGAGCCATTATTTTCTTCCCACGGTGGCCACCAGGACCTCTCTGAAACAAGAACCTTAGTTGCAACCATAAAACTCTTTGATGAGACACCACAGAAAAAGCTAAACATAGGTCCCGGATAACTTTGCTGCTAGCTGCCCTTTAAGTCAGGGTTTATGGTGGTCCTCACGCACAAAGGAATGAAGTTAGGGCATTGTGGTCCCTAAGGTTTTCATTGCCTTATTTTTGGAAGTATATGTCAAGTTGTTCTTCCTTGGTGGTCTTAGTCTAGCAGTCCCACTGAAACCTCTTCAGCATTGTAACACTAAGTCAGCCTCTACCAACCGAAGGCTGGTGGCTGCATATGAGGTACATTGGCCAGGAATTGATCCCAGGTTTCCCCAATGGAAGGAGAGAAGTTTATTACTGGAACTACCACCGTTATTGTGTGATCTTGCTCTGGTCGAATTCCAAACCATCTCTTCTGCAAACTTCTTCTGAAGTAGCAATGAAATGCAAGGGGGGGGCTTCAAAAAGTTTGTGGGAAAATTCCATTATATTTTAACTCAAATTTTCCAGAAACTTTTTTGAAGCATCCTGGTACTTTTAATTCTCTGAACTCATCTTAACTTTCTCCCCACGTGAGCTTCCTTCTACCTGGAATGTCTTTTTACACCAGGTCTACCTGGAAACTCCTATTGTCTTTCAACTAAGTATCAGCTCTCCCATGAACCTTTCCTGACACCCTCCTCCCAGCCTGTTTGTGGTGGGGCCACTCTTATATTGTTCTTGGATTTCCCCCATTACATTGAGTAATATATATCTGCCATTTATTTATTTTTCAGTACCTGTCATAGACATAGAGCATACAAATGCAATGAGTTTATTAAATGTTTTCAAAATGAACATAGAAGCTACTACAGGCTTCAGGCTTTGTCACTTGTCTGATCTCAGCCAAATTCATTTAACTCATGGGTTTGTTGTGAGGAGTAAATGAATGAATGCATAAAAATTGATTAGTAAAATATATGGAAAACTGTAAGCACTCAGCAAAACTTGTCTCACTTATCTTCGTCATCATTTTCACAACTGCCAACAGGCATCACTGCCCACTTGTCTATCTAAGCGAAATTATCGCCCAGGGTTACGGAAGTGAGCTCAGGCCCCTAATAAAGATGGCCGCCGAGCATCCTTCCGGAAGCCATCGGAGGAACTTGGGTGACACAAAATCATGGGGAGCATCCACCTAGGGTTGCGTCTCTGGCTTGAGTGCAGTGTACAGGAAGACCGGCGGTGGGTCCCTCTGCGACCAGACCCCACTTTGGGGAGGGATTGGAAGAGGTGACGCTCTGAGCACCCTCGTTTGCATTTCTGTGTTGTCTGAGCTATCCAGAGTGCTGATGGAGTGCCTCTGAGTGGACACTGACCCTCTACTGATGGGGAATGGGGACGGGAAAATCCCACGACATTTCCGCCGGGAAGTGAATTTAGGGTAAAGGTCCTTGGAGGATGGAGCTCTAGTAACGTAGTTAGCTGAGCTACGAATCATAATGTCAGCAGTTCGGATCTCCGCAGGAGAAAGATGAGGCTTTCTGCTCCCCTAATGATTTACAGCCTCCGAAACCATATGCAAGGTCGCTATGGGTCGGAACCGACTGATTGAACACCACCATCCTTAGAGGGGTGAGTCAGTGCCCTGGCTGCTGCACTGGAATTGGGGACACGATGCAGGGCTCTTGCCCCTCCTCACATGTTGTTGTTGTTATGTGCTGTGGAGTCGATTCCGACTCATAGCGACCCTGTGCAGGATTTCCGAGGCTGTAAATCTTTACGGGAGCAGAAAGCCTCATCTGTCTCCCATGGAACAGCTGGTAGTTTTGAACTGCTGACCTTGTGGTTCATAGCTGCAAGGTTCACTACGCTACCAGAGCTCCTTCCTTCCTTACATAGGAAGTACTATTTGTGCTTTGGGGTGGGGGGAGACCCCTGCTGCTACAAAGACTAAAAAGTCATAAGCAGTTACTGTAGAAAGTTGATTGAGAAGGGAAGAGCCTGCAGGGGAAACATGGCACAGACAACAGTGTCCCCTGGAGCTAACAGGATAAGACTCTTTCATAGGGCGACCTATGTCAGTTTCCACTTTGGGTGAGGGGTTTCCTGTTTACTCAATTTTGTTTCTGATTTCCTGTTCCTCTTTCTCATGCTGTGCACACATCTGGAGGCCAAGATGGAGCCTAAGAATTCAAGATGGATTCTGCTGCAAAGGCATCTGGGATGCTTGACATAACAACTTGGGCATGCACCTTAACACCCCAAGTCCTGGTACAAGTCCCAGCTCTGCCTTAGAAGTGCCATGTTCGCTAGTGGTCACTATGCTGGCACTGAGCAAGTACAAAGAATGCCCTGCATCTGGATCCTTCACAAACAGAATTCTGTGATCTAAGAGATTTAGTAGCCATAAAGGAATGTAACAAGCCATGATGAACATACAGATAGGTCACACAGACTTGGGGAGGATCCTTTCTCAGATAACAGAAGAATCCCAGGGTCCCTGTCACTGCCCTCGGCTCTTCCCATTAACAATATTCCTTTCCTGGTTCTTGCTCAGCTTCCTCCAAAGGCCCTGCACCCTTCTCCTTGTTTCTCTTCAGATGCAGTGTGATACTACTCAGGTTGAGAGCCCCAAGCCCTCCACATGAGTTCCCTTCCCCCCACACTCCTTCACCCCTGTCCTGTGCTCTGCTCCTGGAAGCTGCTCGCTGACATCTTCCTGAGCTTCTAACAGCTGGTTTCCAAGTCTGTTCCTTTGGGTCCATGTCTTGAACTACAGGGAAGCCCCTGGCTCAACCTTCACCTCAGCGTCATGGATGCAGGGAGCTGTGCAGAGAGGTTGGTCCCTTTAAAGCCAGTCATGGGCAGAGATGAATGCTGGAGTTGCCCCAGAGCCACAGGTCTCAAGGGATCTTCCAGATTCAGTGGCCAGTGGAGTGGGGAAAAGGAGGCCACTCAGCATCCACTGAGAATGTTCTGGAATGCTACAAGTGTCCACATCTCAGCAATAATGTAGGAGACAGGAGAGGCCTAGCCAGCTGACCTCAGACAAGTTGCAATATTTGAGTACTGGGTGATACAAGACAATCTCATGTTTAGCAGGGTCTGATTTGAGAAGGAGGCAGAAGTCCAAGATGCCTGGATTTCACCTGATCTGGGCCACAATGGACTGAGATTGAAGTTTTCTCTTCTCTGTTCTGTCTTAACAAAATTGGGAACACTCTCCCCTTGTAATGGTTAGAAGTAAAGATGACTTTATCACCAGCATGGAGTGACAGATGTTTTTTTGTTTTTTTTTTGTAATCATCCTCTGTTAGAGTTCTGATTATCGAGCCATCAAGATTAGGTCAAATGGGTACTGTCTACAATTTGGGTGTTCTTGTGCATCTCCCCTCACTTCATATCAGCTGGATGCTTCACTCTCAGCTCTAGCCCTCTATGGCTTTGTCCTTGTTCGTGAATTCAAGTGTCCTCAGGTTTCACCACACTTTGGACCAACCATCCCTTCCTCTTTTCTCTCTCATCTCCAGGTCAACGGGAGTCAATAGACCGTGGTTGAACTCAGCCCATTTCTTCATTGCTGCCTTTCCCCCTCTTCCACTCACTAGTAGACCACTGTGGTCACCAGCAAGCTTACATGCTTGTTTGTGTGTTCCCTTTGAGTTTCAGTCTCAGAGGGCAGTTTGTCCTGAAGGCGCTGGAGTTTTTGCCTTCATGGTGTCCTGGTAAACAGCTTGCTTATTCTTGTAGTAGCCAGTCATGCTGATATTTTTGTTTTGCGTTTTTCCTGATGATCTTTCTTTGAAGATGTATCTTCTGTCACTGTAGCTGTTCCAGGCTGGTCTGCTTGTCCTTTCTAGTGGGAATGTCCCACCTCGTAAGGTTCTGGATGGGACTCAGGATTCCACCTAAGGTGCTATACTCTGTAAAGGCTTTGCAAAAGGTCTATTTCACTGGGCAAGTTCTAGTACCTCTTTTAGGTATTCCAATCAGTTATAGGCTGAAGATGGGCTTACAAGTTTTCTCTAGTCATGTTTCCCAACATTCCTTTCTATCCCACTCAAGTGTCTATTTTACAATAGTAGGCAAGGAAAACTAATATTCATAAAGCAGTCAAGCACCTAGATCCCTGTATCCCAGCGCCCTGTTGCTCCAAGGTTGAGCATGCATCACTATTTACCTCTGTCCCACTTAGGCCATGCAAACCTATCTCAGTGTTCCCCTATCTATCTTGTTCTTCCGCCTCCTCCCTCTTCTTGTATTGCCCTCCCCAATACCCGAACTAAACCCCCACCCCAACCCCCTTGTTGTGGTTACCTTGTTGTTGTTGTTGTTATGTGCCGTGGAGTCGGTTCCAACTCATAGCGACCCTATACAGGGTTCCTGAGGCTATAAATCTTTACAGGAGCAGAAAGTCTCATCTTTCTCCTGTGGAACATCTGGTAGTTTCGAACTGCTGACCTTGAGGTTCGCAGCCCGATTCATAACCACTACGCTACCAGAGCCCCTTATATTCCATTAATTCTTCCCTCCATTTAAGATAGTCTATTTTATCCTGTAACCTACCTGACCTTCCCACCATCTGGATCTCTGTTCCCCTGTGTTTACCTTCTTTCACATTGTAATTGTTTTGATCATAGACTGACCTCAGAGATCCTGTTTTTATAATTTTACTCTTTTCTTGACTCTTGCATTTGTCGATTGAGTTCAGGATGATGCTGCCATGTACATCATTCTCTAGTTGTTGTCTGTTCTTGTTGGGTTTCAGTCCACAGAACTTCCTTTAGGATGTTTTTCACAGCAGAGTTGGCTATGGCAAAATCCCTTAGCTTCTGTTTATCCTGGAATGTTTTGATTACACCATTGTATT